TATATATATATATATATATATATATATATATATATATATATATATATATATATATATATATATATATATATATATATATATATATATATATATAACTATTTGCAATAGGTCAACATATTTCCTTTTTTCGATAGTAAATAAATTCTTTTAACTTGAACAAACATGCATTGACAGTAGTTTTATGATTTGATCCCAGCATGCGTTGCTGCAATTGACCTCATTTACGTCTTGGATTCCTCCGGAAGTGTCGGACTACCCAACTACAAGAAGCAGATCGATTTCACGATAGATTTGGCTTCAAACTTAAAAATCGGCCCAAAGAACGTCCTTGTTGGAGCGATTGTTTTCAGCCAAATTGCCCAGAAATATTTTGACCTGAAAGATCACAAAACTTTTGCAGACCTTCGCAAGGTATCGAAACGAGTTTCTCTTTAATTGAATAATAATTAAATGTATCGATACGAAATGTCTTCTAAGTCGGATAAAGCTGGTTTGAGGTCTTTAAAATATAAACTATTGCTTTTAAATTAAAATTTGGAGTATTTAACAGCCTTTAAGTTTTCTAATACCTTATATGTTATCTAATACATTATCTCTTATCTAGTACATTATCTAATTAATTATCTCTTATCCAATACATTATCTAATACCTTATCTATTATCTAATACCTTATATATTATATAATACCTTTTTTTATCCCATTAAACGCAGATCATAATCGAATGTCCAAATTACACAAAATGTTATTATCAAATTTAAATGTAAAATGATTTTAAAAATCAATAGGAATGCGCATTATGTGCTTATGGTTGATATACATCCGTCTAATCCTGGTATTAAACCTAAGAAATATGTTATTATTGTAGGCTCTGATCGACACGCCATACATGAGCTACACAACAAATACTGACCAGGCTCTGGACCTCATCACCAAAGATGGCATGTTCACTGAAGCTGCCGGCGCCCGCAGCTATGCTAGCAAAATTGTCATCGTCGTTACTGACGGCCTGTCCGATAACCCACAGCTGAGTACGTCTTTTTGTATAACTTGAGAGCCATTGCACGAGTCAGAGAATTGAAGCTTGTATTCAACTTATACATGTCTGACTTTTAATTATCTTTCTCTGGGATAAAATCTGCCCATGAGTTCATAGCACACAGACTTCAGCTACTAACGATATAGATTGTTTTTATCTTGTTGACAATAATACTGTTCAAGTATGTTGAGTTTCAATCATTCTCTGATATGTATAAAAATTATATACATATATCAAAAATGTGCTTTAGGAAAATGGCTTCATCATGCCCCCTCTAGAGCAGCCGTCATCTCCAAGCTTGAGATATTAGGCCAAGAAGCTTGCAGGTTGGAGAGTCACTTTTTGCCCCCGCCAGCACTCACTCGTTTGAGTTCTAAAGGAGGCTAGCCCAGCCCAAGGACACCCTGTCGGCATTTGACGCTGCTTTTACAAGGTCATGTGTCAAGAAGAAATGATGTTACACTTGTAACATTGACGTCAGTACTCTCTCAGTGATAGGAGAGAGTGTCTACGAAGTGACGTCACTTGTAACATTGACGTCAGTACTCTCTCAGTGATAGGAGAATGTGTCTACGACATGACGTCACGTGTAACATTGCCGTCAGTACTCTCTCGGTGATGAGAGATTGTGTCTACAGCACGACGTCACGTGTCCGATTGAAGACAACCTAAACAAAAGAGAGCTCAACATCGAGTTAAACATTAAAATTTATTGTGCCCATTTACGTGTCAAGAAATAATTTTAAATTTGCGGGATGACTTCTTCTTACCTATTGGTATTCCAGATAATATTTTATTGAATGTTTTGTTTTTCTTTCCCAGCCAAGGAAGCTGCCGCACGTCTTAGAGCTAAAGGGGTTACCATCATTGCTGTGGGGGTCGGTGCTGCAAAAGATGATGAATTGCAGGCAATAGCAAGTGGTTCTCAAAACGTCTTCAAGGCTAATAACTTTGATGCTCTGAAACAAATTGAAACAACAGTGACCCAACGCGCGTGCTCAGGTCAGAAATCTTCATTTTAAGTAAACATTAATACTTTATTTTTCCTTTAATGTGAAATTAAATAAATAGCTTATATAATGGTATGTGTAACTGGGTACATATAACATTAAAATTATCACATTATTGCTACAAACATTAAAATTTCTGTTATAACCCTGTGTCTGCCTGGTCCTCATTATTACAGATAGATCAGGATGAGCACTGGCGAGTATAACAGTTAAGAGTAGACAAGAGAGCCCCTTGTCAAGAAACAGTGAAATAGTATGACATGTCTTCAGAAGCTCTTCTTGACTGTTAAACTCTTTAATAAATTGTGTTCAATAAAACCAGAAACATGTGTGTGTTTTCTTAATGCCTATGTCCTCTGTTAAAAGAACTATACATCCCTAACTACTGTATTGTTTGTTATAAACATGAAATATTATGTGTTTTACTAAATTTTTAGAAAAAAAAATTGATTTTTAAAGCAATTTTTAATTGTAATGAGATAAATATATTGATTTATTCAAAATAAAATAAATACAAATTATGAAAACTAAGGTTGTATCCACAATAGGAGAATTTGGGTTGTTCTCCCACTACTAAAATAAAAATAGCTAACCTCGGCTGGGGTCAAGAACAAAGCATCGAAAAGCTAGGAAGTCAGTTTAGATTTAAATCTACACTTTAAATTCCAAATTGTGAGATGTTTTATGAGCACACATCAATGAAATAGGAAACCGTGGCTTATTCTCCCTGGCCAAATCGATGGTTTGTTTGTTTGTTTGTTTTTTTGTTTTTTTTTTAAGGTACGTAAACATGAAGGCTCAAAAAAAGACATTTGCATGCCAATTTAATAATAATAATAATAATAATAAGGGGTCTTATATAGCGCGGTACCAAAGCCCAGGGCTGGGCTCACCGCGCTGTACATAAAAATGTTATCAAAAGAGACATAATCATGACATTTAGGAGCTGGCACCTTCTTAAAACAAATACGAATGAGACTCCTTGATCCTGGCTTGCGTAATTATAGTTTCTTAAATATAGTTGTAGCTTGAAATATGTTGGGCTGGGAATGGTATTGGAAACTGGTGAGAGAGATTTAAAGACATAAATTATTAAGGTTCTCGAATCCAAACATTAGATCCGATGACCAAACTCAAGAATGTAAACTTGCCACCAAGGTAACCAATGGTCAGGCTAAATTATATCAGAAAAAAGATTTAAATAATGAAAAACAAAGTAATGAAAATGATAAGACGTAAAAAAAAAACCAAAACGTTATAACACTAGGAACACTTTTAATTTGGATATTTTTGTACTGAGTCAACAAACTAGACATTCATAGATATTCATAGTGTATTATTATGCTTTCTTGAAATCAGTGAGGGCAAATGTATTACAATCCTTGGCCAGTTAGGTAAAATGTTCAAGATAAAGTAAAAGAAATTGATTCATATTGGTCTTAAAGGAGGTTATAGCGGAGCGGTAACGTCAAAACTTGTTAATGCCTGGAAGACACATTACGGAAGTGAAAATAACGCAGACGTATGAAGGGAGTTTAAAACAAAGAATACAGCAAAAGCTTTATACACAATGGTGGATGGAGACTATACAGGACTTATTCCTGATTTTTTTTTGAAAAGGTACATAGATGATGACATTGGCGTAACCACAATGGAGGGAGGTGAACTAGGTATATTTAACCCTCTATTACACAATTTTAGTTTTTTTATGAAAAAAAAACTTGATTGCATACTTTATAGTTATTGACTTAAATAAACATAATATGCAAGAAAAATATTTAAAAAAAATAAAATAATGGTTTTTGTGGCATGTTGCCATATGGAAATAGTGCGTCTAAAAGATCAGAAAAGTAAAACTTAACAAGTGAAGAAAACGATAACAATAATATTTTTAAAGGGTGAATATTTAATTGTTTACACAAACAGTTGTAGTCAGTACGCAGCTTATAAGTAGGTCTTCATATTATGCTTTTTTATCATGAAAAAGATCATTATAAAAATCATATTTTATAAGCATTTTTACACAAAAATATAGAAAATCATGTCATCAATATATAGAGCATAATATAGACGGGACAGTAAATATTTATGTACATGTATGAAATGCCGGTTTAAGGCTGGTGGAACTGTTTGAAGCAGTATGACTTTTGTGTTAAGCCAAGGTGAACATTACATTTTGCACATTTTATTCTTGAAAATCCGTTGAAACCTGGTTTCTTGCATCTTCCTTTCTTTTCAAGTAGCTCAGGAAAGTGCCAATATAATCAGCTTTTACTGGTAAGGGTGGAACAGCTGCAGTATGTCCTCTGAAAGTTTTAGCCACAAGTTGAGACACTATTTCCAATGAAGGACGCCAAGTTTCCTAAACCCCGCTTTACCTTCTTTCATTAGACATATTGCGATCTGGGTCTCGAAATCAAGTAGAGCGAGGTTATTTTTGGTCCCAATTCACATTAGTACAATCAGCCTATAGATCAGCCAAGCTGGGTGGCCAAGCGGTCTAAACTGTCTCAAACGAAGTAGCTGGTGGTCTGGAGTTCAATCTCCACCAAAGCCATTCCAAGCAACCCGGGTGGATGGGACTCGTTAGCCCTGGACGGCAACCTGTCTAAGAGAAGGCAAACTCTGAATTTAAACCAGGAGCCAGAATGATCAACAAATTGATCGTGGGCACCTCAAATATAAGAAGAAGAGCCATGCCAGCACAACTGCCATACCATTATCGAGAAAGTGGAAGATGATACACTGGTACTATTTTTGGGTGTTTGGTGGCCGAGTGGTCTAAACTGAGCAAATCTCAAGTTGGTGGTCTGGAGTTCAATTCCAGCTAGAGCAAAAACACCACCAGCACCCCGGGTAGATGGGACTCGTTAACCTTGGATGGCAACTCATCTAAGAGAAGGAAACTCTGAAATCAAACCCGGAGATGGAGTCCCGAAAGGCGGATAACATTGATACAATGAAACATTCCGACAACTCCTGCGACGTCACTGGTGCCAAGCTGTATCATCCAATGATGTTCCCTTGGGTTACCCAGCGGCGTGGAGAGAGGCGATTTGCTGTTGGGAACCAGCTTATAATCCTTCAAGTATAATAATCCCAGGCTATGTGGATTTCGTCCTACGAAGCCCACTCCATCGTCACATTGTGACGGACGGATGCCAG